AAACTTTGACTGACCTTGAATGGTGGTTCCATGGTCCATCGTCCCACTAGTGTATGGTGCGCTTGATCACCCGCACTACCTCGCCGAAAGATTGTTTGGAATTCGCTCCCCTCTCCATCGCCAATTTCAGATCAACGGTCTTCGTCGAGGGCTACAATCACAGTCATTTAATCTCTTGGATCCACGTCTGGACCGTCGCTGATGGGATAATCACCCAAGTTAGCGAGCTATGAATAACCCACCGGCGATGAGCAACGATGTGCTCAGTTGACGGCGAGCAAGGATGTCAGTGACGCGGCGGCAGCGAGGTTTGAATGGCAAACAAAAAGGACGAAACGACTTATCGATGCTTACCGGCGTGAGGTCTCGACGGCGAGCAAGCAGCGAGGAACGAAACGGCGGCGGCAATGGAGGACTGATCTACGGTCAGTGAGCATAATGGATGTAGAAAGAGAGAGTGAGCCCGGTAACGCAAGACACCTCTGATCCGGTGATGAAGAGAACTGAAACGGCGGCGGCGATGCATGATCTCAACAGCGATACCGACTATCAGTGGACGCTGTCGTTGAACCAGTGGCGGCGGTAACTTGTTGGTGAGGACTGCGACAAGCTTCGTTTTTTAGTTCTGTTATTCAATCTTATGTTTGTCTAACTCTCGAATGACGCACATGTGTTGTTTGATGAAATGCTTCATCGGAATGTTGTTACTTGCACCACCGTAATCTCTGCTCGTCTAAATCCGATTCCCTTTGTTGAGATTGCATATACATATATATATATATATATATATATATATATATATATATATACATATATATACACACACACTTACCATATATGTATAAAACTATATATGCGTTTTATGGTGATAGAAGTGTATGAGGTGAGATGTGATGGTATCGGCAGTGGCTATGGTGGTGCAGAGGTGGTCCGTCGTGACGAAAATGGAGGAAGTGTTGGGGTTTCAGAGTACAGATAAATAAGTAGGCAGACTAATGGATTCAACAATTGTGTTGTTCAGGTCTTAGATTGAAGGCTCATATGGATGGGATCAGGTCTGGGAAAAATGAAAATTTTGTTCCTGGTTCGTTTTTTTTTTTTTTCCCCTTTGCGTCACCATTTTTTTCAAGTAGGGGTAGAATGGGTACTTTGTTAAAGGTTTTTTTAATTAATGAAATTAATTTAATAATAGAGGGTAGTTTAGTCATTTAACATTGGGTTTCTATCGGAACTGACCTCAGTCACATCAGAGGGAGGTTATTGTAATATTTAAAACGTTTGGGATACTTCCTGTAATTACGCTTGTAAGTGAAATTATCCCAAAATAAAATGACAATATTACTTTATACTCAATCTCACTCATTCCCTCTCTCTGAATTCACTATTAACTGTATTTCTGTTTAAAAAAAAAAAAAAAAACTAGAGGACGAAGGGGCAATGATGGTGGTCATGTTGGCAGGCCGGAATACACAACTGTGATGGTGGTTATGCCGTCAGCACGCCGGAATCAATGGAGGTCACCGGACAGTTCGCTGGACTTCCATCATATGCCCAATTCTACAGAATTGGTCAAAAATCTTTCTCGAAGATCCCTTTCACTAATGAAGAAAGAGATACTTATCCTCAAATACTGCTATAAAGCTAAATGTTGGGGTGACGCAGTCAATGTGCTTGTTAACCTTCCGGTGGCTATCAAATCTAGTTTCATTCCATTTATTTAGTCAGCATACTTGTGTTATGGGGTTTTGTGTACATTTTTCTTGTAAATGCCTGAGCAGGAATTCTTTTGTTGTGTTTATAGATTTTCATAATTCCTCATCTTTTTTGTGATTTGAAACTTCACACAAGTTTATTGATCGTAGGTGGTGTTAGGAAGGTCTCCATTAAAATTGAAAGTTTGCCGTTTCAGGACTGAATCACACAAGACCGAGGCTCATTGGATTGAAGCATGCAGTCACGCTGTTGATGAAGCACTACGTTGATCGGATTAATTAAGTAACAGGGCTAACCGGACTGGACTGAGCTCGTCGGTGCTCTGACACTGGTAGCGCGGACTATCAATGCTTTTTGGAGCTTCGTCGGAAACTGTTTGTTCGCCGGCGTTGAATGCAGGTCTCGGTGTTCACAGTATGGTCACGAAAAAGGGTCTCGTTGTTCACAGGAATTACATGCGGCTTGAGCGTTGTTTGCACACTCTGAAGCTCGCCGCAGGTTGGTCGACGTTAAAACAAGGTGAACTTTTCAAAAGTTTCGTGACCCATGGGGAGGTAGAGGTTAGAGAGAGAGTAAAGAGACTTGGTACAATGAGCGGTATAAGGGTCTAATACATTAAGGTTGAAAATGTATTTCAAACGGGTAATTTAGGGATTTTATTTTATCAATTTAAAAAAAGGGATATCTGAGCAAATTTAATCAACCTCAATGGGGTGTTATAGTAATTTTGGCTGAAGCTTAATATGACAGCAATAAAATGAAATCTAAAAGGATGTCGAAGCATTTTGCCTTTTGTTTATAAAACTATTCACTGTAAAAATCATTTTTCTTCAACTAATGATACAGCCGAATCTGACGTGAAGAAAACCACATCAATCACTTAAACAAATTTTTAGTCTATAAAATTAAATAAAAATATTAAATATATCAAATTATACAATACTTTCCTCCTGCCTAGGATAAACTTTCTTCTCATGTTAGATGTGGCCTTGATTTGGTTATATCTCAATTGAGCTAATAGTGCATTGAAAGTTTCCATTCTTAATAAAAGTGGATAACAAACCCTTTTTACTAAGTAGTCGGGATTATAATAAAAGACTAACATGTGATCCTAAAATTAAAAAATAAAAATAATGCTCCAAAGAGGTGAGAATGGTTTTGAGTTTTGAGTTTTGAGGAATTTTTTTTAAAATGAATTAAATAATTGATTTGATTTTTCACACATCTCAAAAGTTATTTTATTTAACAAGGAATTTAAACTAGAAACTATATTCGGAGATGAGAAATTATTATATGTTCTTGGTTCATTTGACTTTTGATAGATTAATCTAATAAAAGTTAATGTTTTCTTTGTAATAATATATTAATATATTTTTATGAAATTATTTTCTCAATTTAAAAGTTCAGATTTAACTGACCCACCAAATGTCAATGATTCGAACCCATTTAGGGCCTGTTTGGCTAGGTTTTTTGTACCAAAGCTAATAAAACATGCTTCCTGATCGACTTCCCGCAAGTTACACACTTTTTTAAGTAATAAATATAAAAATCCTATATTGTCCATTATTTAACCTATTTCCATTTCTGAATTTCATTGTAAATTTTTATCTTTTTCTTTCTGTATCATCTTCTTTGTTGGTTCTCTATCCAAAAAATAAAAAAATAATTCAGGAAAATTTATTATTGATTCCTATTTGACTTGAAAGTCTCAATAATTCCAAGATTTATGAATTCTCATCTAAAATTCAAACATATGTAGAATTTCAAATAACTTTTCTTTCTGTCTCCATATATATATACACAATATATATATATATATATATATATATATATATATATAATTTTTTTCTTTCTTTTTTGAAGGCTGCCCTGTTAAAGTGATTTATAGTTATAAATAAGAATAAAAATGGGATAATTTTATTGTCATCTCTCTCTTTCAAATTTTTTTTTTTCATCTTCTATCATGTAGTCAAGGGAAAAAAAAAAAAAAAAATTTCTATCTTGTAGATTGGGTTGGGTTAAATTTGTATACCTAGATCATCACTATACCAATTAATCGTTTCTGCATTGATAGCCAAAAATAAACATGACCTACTTAACTGAAGGATAAAGGCAACTAACTATTGACCAGCCGCTAGACCTCTTCGACTTTTATGAATAATGAAATATGACGTGGTTCAACAGGGTAAAGATAACCTTGGCACAATTTAAGGAAGTCAAAAGGGTTAAATCATATCCCCAACAAATCTGGCAACAAACGGATCTCATCAGATCTCGCATAAGCGGATCTCCTTCGGATCTCGCAAATGAACTGAGGGAGAGCGACTGTAAGAATGAAATCCTACCCGTCAATAAAGGTATGACAAAAAACTATTATTAAATCCCTGCCTTTTTTTTAGACTTCTGGTGATTGACTTATCCTTGGAGAGCTCTTGGCAGGCACCACACTGGTGCCGTTAAGATTCATCAATCTTCTACTTTTTTCTTTGTAGGAAAACGGTGTCGTATCGAACCGTGTGAATTTCACCCTCAACATTGGCAATTTCACTCTATCACTTTAATTATGATTTTTTTTTTTTTTTTTCCTTCTTCCCTTCTATATTCCAATTCAACTCTTTGCTAGTCATGATTTATTAAGGATATAATTTTCAAATTAAATTATCTTAATAGTTAACATAGCTTCAAAAATTTTACCCACCAAACAACTTTTTTGTTTTAAAATTTTTTTATCAAAATACATTTTTCAAAGCCTTTGCAGTGGAAGGGATTTTAAAACTGAAAGCTCCCCAGACAATAATTTCTCGTGGTAGAGGATCCATTTACCTTGAATGGAAGGCTGGGTTAACCGGGTAGAACCCATTTGAAATCTCCACTACCCGAACTCCATTGTAAAACCCACGAAAATTAATCTTTGTGACAAGTAGTATATTTTTAAAAATGAGTAAAAGATACAAATTCAGCAAATTGATTGAAGATTAAACACAATCGAACGCCCTGAGAGAGTTGAAGAGCAACAGAGCAACAGAGCAACAACCTCTTAAAGCTGCAACCTTTCTGAGGTACCAATTTCTCTGTCATTTTATTGTAATTTATATATATATATATGTTTTTGTTGATTTTGGCCCTAAACAACGAGTTAGGAGAGAGAAATTTTCAAATAAGTTCAGATGAGACCCGGTTAAAAACGGGTTCATTCCATTCTGTGTTTTTTTTAAAAAAAATTTAGAACAGATGCCCATATTTGCTCCGGCCATATCATTTATCAATCAGGATCGGATCTATGCCCACTCTAATCGGGTCAATAACAACACTGCTGCTCCTAATTCCCACTTCTCCAGTTCTCCCCAGCATTTCTTGCAACCCCCAACTCTCCTCTCGCTCTCTCTCTCTCTTCACTATCGGGGCGATCGTCTTCTGTATTTTGAGCTTCAGTAAGTTCTTTAACCATTACCATTTCTTATGCCAAGAATTTTTTCTATTTCTATATAGATTTATATAATATATGTCTTATCGTTATAGATGTACACTACTGTTATCATTAGCATCATTGTCCTCTTCTGATAAGTTCTAAAAAATTCTTCCACTTTCAATTATAGTTAATGGAATTTCATTGTAATTTCGACTGCTCTCTTCTTGTAGGGTGTTTTTGATGATTAATTGCTTTCGGTTATAGGGTTTGTTGTATAATTTCTAGGATTTTATAGATTTATAATTACACTTGTCATGTGCATTTTTGATGAAAATTTCAAATTTATAGAACATATATATATATATATATATATATATATATATATATATATGTATGTATGTATGTATGTATGTATATATTAAAAAAAAAACATCTCCTTTGAACAAAGTTCTATACCCAGAATGCTATGATGTCATGTTCTTTTGGATATTCCAATCCTTGCATTGTATATGTATATATATATGGCAAATGTTTGAAATCTATGCTAAACTTACAAAAGGATCAAACAGGTCTGCCCTTTTTTGTACAAAGCAGATAGCTGATTAGAGATATGGCAGAGAAAGAGACTGTCAAGCATCTTGAGGACTGCTCAGTTTCCAAGTTAGTTTTTTTTTTTTTTCCTCTCTCTCTCTCTCTTTCCTTAACCTTTTTTTATTGATCATCTCTTGATCAAATAGATCATGTTTATATAAGAAGTTTGTAAACTGTAAGTAATGTGATTGATATAGAAAAATACTCTTATACTTGTAGTTTTGTTTAAATTATCTGAAAGTAGAATAAAAATGTGTGATGTCAATTAAAAATTTGGTATATCTATGAATCCTCACATTTGAAATAATTTTTTCATTTCTATAGAACTTCTACATCCTATTTGGTATGGGACCAGAGAATGAATTTTCTTTACTTCATTCAACTTCTGGTTTTTTGATTTATGGGTGGAAGACGAGAAAAGAGAGACACAGAGATAGAATATGTTTGGAAATTTCTTCCCTGGCAGTTGGGAGCATACTTAGGCAAGCTGAAATAATTTACAAACTCTTTACTCTTGAAGTTATATCTCTTCTCTCTCTCCACTAAAATAATTAATTACATGTTCTCTTCTCCTACCTACGTCTTGTAATTTATTTTTAAGTTATCTCTCTGCTCTCTCTCATTTAAAAAAAAATAATAATTATATATTTTTTTCTACTCCCTACATTTTGTCATCTCTCTCTCTCTCTCTATTGTATTTGACTCTGAATTGAGGTCTCCTTCTTTCTCAAACATTAAATCAATATTAACATTTTTTTACCGTTACTTCAACTACTTTTAATTGAATTGTTTGTACTTAAGAATTGATTTTTGCATATTGTTCAGATAATTTTTTTCTTGCATACAACTTGAATATATCACTGATGGTTATTAAATTCGTAATTTCTATTGTCAAGAAATCATTGTGATCACATCTGTGGTGATGCTGCAAATTTTTTATTCTATTTTTTGTATGAGACTATTGTAATTTTCTATTATGACATGACTTGTTTGCTATGCTCCTTATTAGAAGTCTGACTTTAAAATATTTCTACATACCATAGTTTTTTTGGTTGGTTTTGTGCGTCTATGTGTTTGATACATTGGATCTGATTGACAAGCTTGGGATTCTAGAGTTACTAAGAGCGGATAATGAAACTTTCTTTTCAATTGGAAGAAAGAATTCAGAAGTAGGGATCTAGAAATGCTTGTTAGGTAAAGATGGTAAAAGTTGGTAATAAGAATTTTCTTTGTAGTCTTGGTACATCTTAAGTTTCTCATTAACAATACAGGAATATTTGCCCATATTGGCATATTTTTTTTTTTGATAAGTTGCCCATATTGGCATATTGAAGAGTTATTCATCTTTGTTTAATCAATTGCAATTAAGTTCGTTTGAATAGGTGAATTATAATTTGATATTTGTGTAAAAATTTGGAGAAGTTGTGGTAGATATTCGATAAATATGAACAGATCCTTTTCACCTTCATGTTTAAATTATAACATCAATTTGAAAGGAGTTCCTTTTTTTTTTTTTTTTTTTTTTCACTTTTTATAATTTTCTGTAGATCAGCTCTGTATTGGTTTTGGCAGCAGAAATTGTAGTGGATATCACTTAGACCTATGGGTTTGACATGGTAACCATGTGGAGTACAATTCATACTATTTAGAGTGAAACTTTGGGTTGACATTGAATTCCAAAAGTTTGGAAGGGCACTTGTGATTTTTTTTAATTCATATTAGTTTTTAGTAGCAGTATAGGCTGGGTGAAACTTATCTGAAAAGTGGTTCACTGCAGATATAGGATAAAAATGGTGTTGAAGTTTTTTGCCTTCCTTTAACTCTATTTTAAGGCAAATAACAATGTAATTGAACCAATTTTTTCCTTTTTTTTTTTTTTTTTTTTTTTTTATTGGAGGGGGGAAGCTTAGGTCAGGATTGTCGGCCATGGCATAGTCATAGCTCATTATGAATCAGGATCAAGTAGTTCTGTTCTTACATAATTAGTTGTATTTCATAGATTTAGACCAGAGAGAACGTGTGTTGCGAACAAAATATCGATATTTTTCATTATTAGAAATCAGTCTTACAATAGAAACTATTTGAATCCCTCCCTTGCTCTTCTGAAAGGATAGGAGCATTTTGGGATTTTATAACAAATTCTTTAACGGACCTATTGGCCATTAAAGAACCTATTGGTGACTTTCTGCTGGGGGCAATATGAATTTCTGTGCAAACCTCAGGGGAGGTTGACCAAATTTTAAGAACCTTAATCTGACAGTGGTGATTACCCTTTATTATTTATGTGTCTATACGATTGCAAAGGTGATTTTATAAAGGGGTCCTCAATTCATGATTAATGCAATTTTTGCTCCACTTGAAAGCTCTCATGGAGTGTCTACAACGACATGTGGAGCTAAGTTTATTCAAGGTTGGAATGACCTTCAATATTGCTGTAAAAGCGAAAAGTCAAAACTTTCCTACTGCTTAATACTATTTGTTTGGAGGGTTACGAAAGTCAGTCTAATAGACCTTTTCTATGCCTTTTATACCTAAAAATTAGGTCGATGCCCATAATGGTTCATACTGTAAAGCCAGTTTAGGTCTTACTAGATTAACTAGAACTATGAAGGCTTAGTTATGTAAGGAGTTAAGGAGTCCTTTCTTCTATAAAAAGGAACTATAATAATTGTTCTAAAGCAGAAAATAATACAAGCTTAGTGAAGAGTTCTCCACTCAGTGGTTCTTGTGTTCTATCTTTTAGTTCCTTGTATTCTAGATATCATATTCATGGAATATGATTCACTTTCAAGATGCTTGTGAAATGGTAGACACGCAAGACTCAAAATCTCATGCTAAAGAGCGTGGAGGTTCAATGAGTCACCATTGATATCGACACATCTGAGATCGCCAAATGTTTGCGAGTTCCTTTATTCCATTTCAGATCAATTACCATATCAATCTAAATTTTTCTTCACTACCTAACAATGTGAGTGGCATATTGCATGCATTTGGATGTGTTGTTCCAATATCATCCATTTTTAGGTGACATTTTGTCAAATTGAATGCCCATAAGCTTCTCTCTTGATATTTAGCATGAATAGCAGTAGTACTATGTGACGGCCCTGGTTTTACAAACCCGGTGCGTCTTGTGATGACCCGAAAGTTGATCCGATAGTGGATCCCGAATGCGGAAACGAAATGAAGAACGGAGTCTCTAGAGATGAATATCACCTCTAAGACATCAAAGTAACCTCCTGAGAAGCTACGAGGCCAAAAGAAAACAAATGCGGAAGCTAGGATTTTAAGACCTGACGAGAAACGAACCAAGAGAAAAATAGTCATTTCACATAGGAATGGGTGCTACCGTGCACAAAATTGGAAAGACGACGAAAAATCAATGAAGTTTGACTCAAGAATCACTTGATTCGGAGTTCGGGCAAAAGGGATATATTGCCAAAAAAGGCAGCTAAGAGGCCAGCATAGGAAGGGGGCAGCCGCCAAGGAGGCTGCGGCGACCGCAAGCCAACAATGGCGGGCGGTCGCCAAAATTGGCGGGCGCCCGCCAACTTTCAAAGTTATTGCTCATGGACTGAAAATGGGGGTTCGGGTGATTTTTAAAATGTCTAAATTGAATATGAAACCTTAAAATACACCTACAAGACCTCTGGAAGTTCCGGAACGGTCGACACGATTTTCAAAAAAAAGTCGATGAATGATACCATGTTCTAATTTCAAAAAAATGCTTAAACCAGAAAATTGGAATTTACGTGGGGTTTTCGAGACCAAGACACATTTTTTGGAAAAATGTTATGAAGTGACCCCTTCTAAAATCACATTTTCTAAGTGACCATGTCAAGGCCGAAGCTTATTTTTCAAATGAAATTCCCAAAATGCCCTTAAGATCAGATTTTGCAAAAACATAAAAATGTTGAATCCAAAGAACATCCATTTCATCAAATGTGATGTTGTGTGCAAAAGTGAACATGCACGCAAACGTAATATGCATTTTAAGACGTGTTGCAATGCCCGCGGTCTCAAAATACGCCAAATGCAAAATATCACCTGTCAAACCTCTAATATTCGTAAAATTGCTTTCAAAAGTAAAATACGGAATCAAAGTACATAAATGAAAATGAAAAGGTGTTTGGCTTTGGCCACACATCATACATATAAAAAGAGTTCGAAAGAGTACACTTAGGTACACATTACATGTTCCAAAGTAAAAACGACGTATTAAAACCTAGCTATGCATTACAATCTAAAAGGGAAAAGTTTGGCATGCTAACACTTGCATGCACTGTAAATTACACAAAATACTCCAAAATAACCAAGCCAACCTAGGGATGTTGTGTATCTCAAAACAACTTCTTCTTGCCTGAAAAATCGCAATCAGCGGGGGTGAGTAACTTGCATTACTCATAGGAAAAATATATGCGTATAACCTAAAGTTTTAACAGATTTGCAAGTTTAATATAGACTGAATCCAAACGGAACATACTAATGTCTATGTTCAAAGAGGAAACTAAAGGATACCCTAAAGCTACAATTGAAACATGTTAAAACCCATTCACCATAACTGACTTCAACAAGTTACAATTTCAAATGGGCAATGTCAACCTGTAAATGAAAACGAATCAAAACCAAAGCATATACTTGTCATAATAACTACCACAAAGCTAGTAGGATAACAAAGTATACAGCACTCCAACAGCTACCAAATAACCACCACATAGACTCCACTATGATGCAACTCACACATGTGACTCTATGACACAAAGTAACGAAAAATGATGCCGGAATCAAATTCCGGACACGAAAACGAGATTGGTGCACTTCCACACCCCATTGGCCAATGTTCCATGGGACCTTCCACCCACTAGATGCGATGTCCACTATTTTCAACTTCGGATGGCGTCCATCCTTCAAACTTTTTATGTATGCTGTGCATACACAACTTACAATCAAATGAACTCATGAATGGAATAATGACCACTATGCTCCTAAAGCCGTCGTGGCACTCACACCATGATTCACACACAAAACTACATCTCTACAAGTTCATATTGCAAAATAAATGTATACTTCAC